AAAATAAATAATAGTAATTAAAATATTAGTAAAGCAATACAATATTTGGACTCTAATTGGGCGCAGGCTTAGGAGAATAGTGACTAATATGGTTTTACGCTTTATAACCACTACTGGTTATAATAACAATAAATGTTGGCTGGTAAAATCGATCTAAAAGTTCAGAATGCCCTGTTGAGCCAAGGCACGAAGTTATCATCCCGACTGGGCTCGTATTGGGGTTCAGGCTTGGTCCTGTCGTCCTACCTACCTATAACGTATACGCGCATCATCTAACATCAAAACCCTGACGCGTTTCCAGATATACAACTTAAAAACTGTGTTTATTATTAGATTAGAATATTCTTTGAATGCTATTTTAAGATAAGTTGATGTACAAACAGTATTCCATAAATAACGCTTTTTTAATATTCATAATACTGTAACTTCTCTATTTCCTTTTTGAAACCGATTTATTGTACTATATTTTCAGTTTAATATGCTACTACTGAATATCAGCACAATTTGGTAGGATTCCGTTCTGCGGTCATCTGATGTATAATCTTAATGATGGTACTATTCCGTCACGGATCTTTATCAGACAATAATTATGGTGGTACTATTCCACTTCTCCCCGAAAATAAGTCTAAGGCGGCTTCAAGTTGTTTTGTTATCACTACTGTGAAGATCTCTAAAGCAAATAATTTATCATTATTTGAACTTTTTCATCGTTCTTTTTATATCGAAGTACCGTAGACAGACACGATCTAAATATTTATCTCTACATTTCATCTAATATAAATAGCTTAAAATTGCTCATCACATTACTGTTGTCTATTAGTCTTACAATTGACTATACGTAACTAATGAGTGCGTTAAGAATAGTGATCATTTTTACTACTTTACTAAATAGTTTAATTGAAGCGGAAATTGTTTATAATGGTAGTTCTACAGCCAAAGACGATTGGTGGAAATATGCAACATTCTATCAGATTTATCCTCGATCTTTCAAAGACAGTGACGGCGATGGGATGGGAGACCTGAACGGTATTACTAGTAAATTACAACATCTAGTAAATGCAGGAATAACAGCTGCGTGGCTTTCGCCAATTTTCAAATCTCCTGGGGTCGACGCTGGTTATGATATTAGCGATTTTAGAGATATTGATGAAAAATTCGGAACTATGAGTGATTTTGAGCAGCTTATCAAGACAGCCCATGAACTTGGCCTGAAAATTATTTTAGATTATGTTCCGAATCATACAAGCGATCAACACGTGTGGTTTCAGCTGTCCAAAAATAAAACTGAAGGGTACAAAGACTATTTCATTTGGAAGAAGGGCTATAATTCAACGGCGCCTCCCAACAACTGGGTATGCATAATAATATTTTCAATTTCTTATTTGGAAGTTTATAAATGAGCAGTGTTTGATTATTAAAAGGTAGGGGTATATAAATATCAATTTTATAATTCGTTTATAATTCTTAACCCTGGATAAGAACATTTATCGTCATTACAAAGCGATATTATACATAAGGCTTAAAAACTGGAATTAATACTCTGTATTCAACCATTAACCGACTTCCTTAAACTCTTTTATGCGACATTAGAGCATAAAGTATAAAGTAGTAATTTACACTATAGGATGTATTACTACTTACATTTAGAAAATTTCGTGGGTGCCCTTGATTTTTTTCATGACTCGTTGATTTTTTTTTATTATTGTATTTATTCTCTTTGTATTTTTTTCTGTAAATATTTAAACATTAAATTTAAATTAACAATTACTGATTTGAAACACAGACAGACGCACGAGAGATTCTTAAAGGGTTCCGTTTTTCATTCGGATGTACGGAACCATAATCCGAGAAGCAACAAAAACTTTTCCCCCCATGCATTCAAACTGTAAATGTAAATTTGTATGCACAATATTGTTTTGTTGACTTACCACGTTATGTTCAGTCCATAGACTTCTTATTAATTTTACTGTAATCTACAGTTTTCAAAATTTTAGATTCAGTAATTTCGCAGATAAGGGGAGGAGGGAATGGTCAAATTTCCAAAAAATTTTTAAATAACATTAAAACTATTTATTTTAACATTATAATAAATAAATATATATANCGGGGTATCCCAAGCAAGCGGGATTCTTCAATAACTGGTTTATAGTTGAAGATATCAAAAAAAGTTCCTCACAAAAGTGGTACCATATAAGTGGAAAAAATTTGTAAAAATGAAGTTAGATAGCTTCCATGAAAAACGGGACACTCTGTATAATCAAAAATAATTTTAGGATATGAAGAGACTCATATGGTACCACTTTTGTAAGAAACGTTTCTTGATATCCTCAACTATAAAGCAGTCACTGAGGAAACGCGCTTGCTTGGGACACCCTGTATACGTAAATGATATTTGTCTACTATTAACATTATCGTGTGTATAATAAAACTATCTTTCGAATGAAATATTCTTAAAACTTTATAAGTGGTTATAAGTAGAAAATATAGTAAACAACTTCACTATTCTTAGATTTTTGATTTGTCACTTTATTTTTCAAATTCAGTTAAAGTCGTATATAAAGTTCAAAACATTAAACTGTAAAAATAATATGCATACATCAGATTAACTAGAATCACTAAATAGTGTTCTAGTGTATGGAAGTTTATATATATGTTTGTACCGCACTCGATTGGTCATGACCAAAAACACTTTCGGTACGTGAAATATTGTAAGGGCTTTTCGTTTAGCTTTCACAGGGCTCGGGTTTTGTAAGATTTCTTCAGATATTGTTAAGCGCTTTAAGAGCAATTAGCGGTAATAAATGGTAAAAAAATGAGTTTTTGCCTTGTAACTGAAATCTATGCAGCTGATGATATTATTTCGGAATGAGCTGACTATTAGAATGTCTAATTAAGAACTCTTTAGGCATACTTTTTATAACCATGATGTCTCCATTTAATTGCAACTTGTAATTAAAAATCGCTAATTTAGACATATTTAAGGTGGAACTAAACAATGGATGATCTACATTCGGTATTCATTGTGATTAGTACATTATTACCTTAAAATTTAAACATTTACTGTGTCAATTATGCAGACAAATATTTTCCTAAATGAGATGTCTGAAGTGAAGTGCTAAAAGCACAGCCGACAACAGTTCTAAATCACCCAAATTTAATTCAAGCAATAATAATCCTCATCAATTTTTGACAAAGAATTGACGGTACTTAATATCTATATGCATAACAAAAAAATATAGCAATGTATCAAGCGAACTACTCACGTTAATCTATCTTAGTGGAATATTCAGCATTTGAAGCTCTTCATTTACTTATTCTGAAACAAAAAAGAAATATTAAATAAGTTTCCACTTGTGGTTTCGTTACAATAACTTCCCTATACTGGGAAGCTAGTGTACCGATTGTTTGGACATTTTATAAACTTTCTTTAAAAATAAACTATCCTTAAATATTTGCTGGTCTGATAAAAGCAAACTACATAATTTCCAGGATACTAATGACAGAAGCATGGGAATCAACGAACCTCACCATGATGTTTTACGGAAATGAAACTAATGAGGGAGTGACTTTTCCATTCAACTTCAAATTTATCACAGACTTATCAACTTCAACATCGGCCCAAGATTTAGTAAATGTCATTTTAGAATGGTTGAATAATATGCCAGAAGGAAAAGTTGCAAACTGGGTGGTAAGTACAACCCCTACTTTTAAATACGTAATTATAAAGAAAACACATTCACATTAATTTAATTTCTGTGTTACCTGTACATTGTTTTTTGATGGTCACTCTCTAATAGTTAGTATCATAATAATTGATCTTTTATTAGCTTGGTAACCACGACCAACATCGTATAGCAACACGACTTGGTACTGAGCGGGTCGATGGTTATAATTTAGTTGCTCAATTACTCCCTGGTACTGTTCTTACATACAATGGGGAAGAAATTGGTATGGAAAATGGCGAAGTATCATGGGATGAGGGTCAAGATCCCAGTGCGTGCAATGGTTCACCCTTGGACTTTAATTCCACGAGTAGAGATTTTCAAAGAACGCCATACCAATGGGACAACACTACCAATGCCGGTAAGCACCAATGCTTGGTGATAAAATTCGTATTCATTTTGGGAAAAAAGAATTTTAGACCTTTATATCAGTTATTTATTAGTTACTTAAAATTGATCTTTCAATTCCACGAATCCCTAAAATCCAACACTTGGTCTCTAATATTCCTAATCTGAAGCTTCCTAATTCCAATAGATATTTATTCCTTGACAAAAGCTTTCGATTTCTAAGTCTCCTAATATAGAGTTCCTGATTGTTTATAACACTTTACCACACATATTTTTACAAATGCTCTTGTATACTATTTATTTAAAGGTTTTAATAATGGAAGTAAAACATGGTTGCCGGTGAGCAGTAAATATTTATCATGTAATCTATTAGACCAACGATTCCCTGAAGGCAAAAAAAGTCACTATCATGTTTATAAGAGTGTTGTGGCTCTAAGAAAAAATGAACCGTTTATTACTGGAGAAGTAAGTCTGGCTGCAGTTACGGAAAGCGTTATTGCTTTTACTAGACGATTAGATGGTCATGATGTCTACGCAGTGTTATTCAATTTAGGTGAAAACTCACAAAACGGAAACATAACGGAAAAGTTTCCCCAACTAAATGAGGATTTGGAGGTTGTAATAGCAAGTGCTAGTTCAGCCAGAAATATAGGGTAAGATAACTAACTACACAGTGTGGGACAATATAATTTTCCACAATTATTTTAATTATTAAATAAATTATTATTTGTATTTTCGTTTTTTTTAGCGACAAAATTTCACCTTCCAATTTTGAACTTGCTGCATTTGAAAGTTTGGTCGTCAAGGCTAAAAGTGATGGATCAATTTCCTCTGCTTCGATTATAATTAATGTTATTTTGATTTTGCCAATTATTTTTTATAAAACACTATAATTTTTTGTAGGCAAAGCAACTTCCTCTTGTCAATAAATATCATTTTAGTTTTTACCTGATTTTGATTTCTTCTTTTCATTTACCACA